GTACCATCAATCCTGTAATGTGTTTCTCCTATTCGCTTATTGGTAACATTCTTCTCGAATCAGTAAACATTCCAACCTCCTACCAAGGACGAGCTCGCATTCTACCAAGGCAAACCAAGCAAGACGGCATAACAACATAACATGGTCATTAGTATTCTAATTCTTTATTGTCCATCGGGTTATTTGGGTATTTACCCTTCGTATTACATAACACCCATATTTGGTACATTACAGTACGAACGCATGGGATTGCATTGAATTGCAAGGGATAAACCATGGACCTACTACAGGATAAACCCATACCCGTTAATACCTGTTTACTCAAAGATCGGTCTACTAACATATTCAAATTGTATGCATACTTTTTAAACAAAGATTGTTCTTGACATCCTGAAGGATTTTCTGAAGCTATCCCGACATAGCAAAAAATAATGTTTGCAGACTGTAGTTCATTCATTAATAACAGGTTATGGAATACTTCGTCACTGGGTCCCCGAGGAAAGAAAAATCCATGAATTTGAATATGTTATTAAACCGGTCTATTGTCTGCATCTTCTAGTTAGAAAGAATTCCCTTGGCAACTCAACCGCGTTGAGGCTTGTCTAACATAGCAACAGTTAATGTATGCAGCCGTTGCAACGTCAATTTCCATCTATTGACCTGTCATTATGATCATAGCATGTGCATTCAATAGCAACATACATAAATTGATATACATAAGTAAATAGGACTATTGCGGGCATCGATTGGGAATTCCCTCTAAATGTGTCTAAACTGCTAATGGTGATTCATGAAATAGGGGGGGGGGGGGAGTAAGTCACGACTCGAAAGCATCTCAAATGCCTTCTTTAGCAGAATACAATGGCTGAATACTGGCAATTACTTCTTTAATCTGAGGTGTTTTGTGTCGTTTAGTTCATAAAACTTTACAGCAATCAATACAAATTTATAAATGATAAATTATTCTCTATTGCGTCAGGCGATATTTAAAAACTTATCAATAAAATAATTAGATTAAAGGGTAGATAACACAATCATAATTATTGTATTACGAAAGATATCAAAGTCAACACTGCTACGTGCCATATATTACTATAGGGCGATGACGTTTGACGGCATTGTGTGACTCATCAAATAATATTTGAAATTTTATCACGAAATACAACTAAAGATATGATGTTTACTTTTCTCGTACATTTTGTACTATGGGTCTGTCCCCGACGAGTACGCCTATTATTGGCATGTAGAAAGAATGGATGGATGAATGGATGAGTGAATAAATGAATGTATGAATGAATGTATAAATGAAAGAATCAAGGAATTAATGGTTGATAAATGAATGTATGGATGAATAAATAAACGTAAAAAAATAATAATAACAATAATAATAATAGTGGGTTCTTGTATAGCGCCCGTGTCTGTCAGATTTGACACTCCTGGCGCTCCCGAACAAACATTAATGAAGGATAGATTGTTAAATCATTGAATAAATGAATAAACGAATGAATAAGTGAGTGATTAGTTGATCGAATAAATGATTGAATGAATACATTGATGAATAAAGCTAACGAATTTCTAGATAGACGGCGCTATAGAAATGCCTATTATTATTATAGCTTTCGAGGGACATTTTGCGTGGGTGCGGTAATGGTAATTCTGATTATCATTAATGATAACAATCATTTCGCCCTGCATGATGCCTTAGAACTGACAGGTGGGCAGCGCAGCAGTCGAGTGCGTCCAGACGTATCAAGAAATGTTTATTTACAGAATTAGAACATGCTACATGATGATTGATAAACATGTGGCGTTGTTATTGATGATGAAATGATAAAAAAATTGTTATGATATCACCAGGCTACATTTTACACTCACATCGCAACTTTCTTTGATAAAAAGGGTATCAAGCATTTACTCCTTAAGGGTTCAGGTTCGTTTTAGTATCGGCATATAGAGATTTGGCACCTGTTTGTATAGGAATGCAACTAATATTGATATTACCATGTGACCGTTTATTCTCCTTAGCCGATCAAAATATGAAATAAAATTAACGTATAAGCAGACGCATTTGGAAATGACTTTTATTTTGATTAGTTTTAAATGGATATTTGGGTTACTCCATGATTCTCAGACTTTAAAATAATACACAACAAACCTGTGTCCTGTGAATCATGCTAACGGGGAATAGGAAGGGGATCAGTGTGAAAATGATATTAGAATTGGTTTGAAAAGAAAACTGCTGATTTAGGTGGAAAACCTTTCATGCAAGTGGCGTGTGACAATAGGTATTGTTAGTTTTCTGACTTTAAGAAACGATGTTGCATTCTCCTCTATCCTGACAATATGAATCGCCTACGTCGAGTTATGAATCGTAAAAGGATTACTACAAACAGTAGATCGCCTCCGGGTGTATTTCTCACTTCTTTAGTAGCTACTGACATACAGGTGATTTCCTTGCGGTAGACCTATTGTGACTCAAAACGAGGCACGGAGGAAGAAATTCATTTTGTAATTCAGTTCATTTCCACGGCTGTCATCTCCCCTCATTGTTGCCTACCACGTGAGCCCCGCTCACAACACGTACAAAAATAAAAGGTGCGATTGATTTTTCCCTTTAATAATCGTCTGACACAAAACCGCATACATACATGTACTACTTCTTTACAGAAAGAAATTTCAACACGGCCTGACCATCCCGACATAGCAACAACGTGCAAAGTTCCAGATGATACTTTAATCACTTTTGCATGCATACGTGTAAAGAGCGGTGTTACCACCGCTGCAAGACCAAGTAGAAATGGCATATCATGTAAGGTACTATAATTTTTGATGAGACAACAATATTGATAATGCCAATACTTGTTTTAAAGCTTAAAATATTGAAATGGTGGAACAAATTAATAAGTGGTATTGTACGCATACCCCGGACATCCGCCCTACTCTACCAATGTTTCAGATGTGACAAATTTGATTTACCCCAAACATAAGATGGAGAGGGTTTTTTGTCCAGACTCAAGGCGTTTGAAAATTGAGAGATAATATTGACAGGGTTGTTTTTGAAGACTGCGTGCGTTTCTATTTTCGAGATAAGCTCCAAAATGCCTGAAAATATTTGGTTGGTATCAACAGGGATGCGCTTTATTAATTACCTTAATAATACAGCAATTAAAAAGTACATGCACCGATTAGCCACCAAAGAATACGCTGTTTTAATTATTCATGCAACAGAGCCCAAAGATGACTAATTAAATAAACAAACCAGTGAATTGAAACTGACATTCCTTCGGTATTTGATTTGACATGTGTGATTGCTCATCTAATAATTAATAATTATGACCTCCTCTTCGTACAAAAGTGATTCATAATAAAAGTGCGCTCGATTTAATTACACCCATAAGGGAGGTCCACAATCGCAGAGTTGGTTTACAGTGATTAACATGATTATTGAGAGAAGGGGAGGGGGGTAAATCTCACTTTCGTAACAAATTAACAATTGTTTAATATCAAATTCAAATCATGGGAAATCACACAGTAATTCCGAAGATGGAATCATAAAGATTTAATTAAGCAGGTTAGTTTGAAATCCGTCTGGCCAGTTGCAGACCACCGTACGTGTGTCTGCATCAGAAACGGATTTAATTTTTAAACATCTGTCACATCTGGCCACTGAAGAAGAGTGTGACACTTTTTAACCCGTCTCTTTTTCCTTTTTTTACAACTCATTGCCCTCCGACTGCCGGATGGAGGGTTTTTGAGGCCGTTTTTTGGTTTTTCACACTTACCGAACAGATCCACTATAACTTGTTGCAAGCATCTATTACATCAGGACCAGGGAATCCCCAGTTGCTAGTAACTTCTTGGTTCGACATTCATTTTAAATGCCTTCATCAACTCCGATACAAACTTGATGGGGTAACCAAGGGGCAGAGGGGGGGGGGGGGGGGGGAGGGGGTTAGATCTAGTAGATGGATGTAGCATCGATAAACCTCAACACATTAGCCGCGCTGGTGTATGCAGGAAATGTGTGCATTGGTAGGTCTATGATTTGTCGGACGGGGGCTAATTAAATAGTCATCAGTTAATGGATATAGATTTATAATGATTTTTACACATGTAGTTTTAATGGGATAGAGGTCATGTGAAACGCCAGCTGATACATGAGTAACTGTAAAATAATCTATACAACACTGGTTTGCTTGTGTCCTACCCATCTCGACCCAGATCCCCCCACCCCCCCCCCCCCCCCCCCCCCCCCCCCCCCCCCCCCCCCCCCAATTCCACAAACTACTTTCTGCCAGTGTCATAACCTACGGGCTGATAATGAGACCATCAAAAAGTTTGCAATTTGAGAGCATCTCCCATAGAAAGCGCAAGAACATTGTATATTGTTATATTCGAATCCTTGATCGATGAAGCAACTTGCGGATGCATGGTAGATCTTGGACATTAGTGTATAATAATGTCTTTCAAATCCGTTTGAAAGTGAAACCTTGGCCTCCAGAGAATATCTGAACATAATTATAATTATGCAATTTGAATTCATGTAACACAGGGGGAATGGGTTGGGAAGATGAGATGAGTGAAAGGGAAACTAGGCGTTATACCTTGATAACTTGTGATAAGGTTTATTAACAAGTATCGAATCGTTCGCATGCTGATAGCTCCAAATCCAATGTCATTCATTTTCTTTACTCTTTTTCCTTGTACACTCTTCCAGACAACACCCACTTACGATTTTAGTATTTTCCAATTCCATCCACATTGGTCTTTAAATTACCTTCGAGTCCAAGAAACCGTAAAAACAAATGTAAAATTTACTCCGAGACTGTAGCATATTGCATGCTGTATTTTATCCAAATTATTACATTATATATTTGGTTTAAACACAGTACTACACCACTACATTAAAACGGTATCTGCGAAGTTTAAATAATTTGCGTATACACATCGTTATCTAGATTAAATTCGAGGGTAACAAGAAAACACTGGGTTGTACTTACGTAATAATTGCACCACAAAGGCGATACTCATCGCTGGTATCTTAAGGTTCCACGGTACAGCTCTGATCTGATCCATGGCGCCTTGGTAAGGTTTGTAGTGGTCCTGCTATGAAAGGAAATGTTGCACTCCTGGGTGGATAATGTACCCCTATTCTGGTAATGTTGTACCCCTAGGGGTGTAGAATCTCCAGTGGCGTTCCCCTGCGCTCCTGCAAGAGTAAGATCTGCAACCTGCCTCCGTTTTGCGGTTCAACAAAGCACCGTGTATAGATTCCGTTAACAAGTCAATAGATTAGGAAAGACTGATCCGCCTTCAAAACTACCGCAAATACTGCCGCTCAACTCGATTAGCATAGGAGCAATGCAAACCCAAAGTCCATCTGCGAGCAGTTAACTTTTGCATGACAATGAATGATCGTTAGAACTCAAAAGTGCAGTAGCGCGTGTTCATTAACGGGACATCCGCACGTTACCTGTGCAATGACTGCACACTGAGCACGAGTGCGTGCGTTTTTTGTACTATCTACTTGCAGCAGACACCAATTTGTATTGACTGACTACATGTGTATCCCGGCCCCCCCACTCAGGTTTCGAAATGACCGCATGCGTGTTGCCAAAATGTCCGGTAAAGGGGTACTTTTCGTGCGACAAAGTCCGGCCCGAGAATTGTAAAAAAAGGGGTGTATTTGACTTTTCACCCGGAGATTTCTTTAAAAAGGGGGTGTTTTTTCTTTTTTTCTCTCATCTATTTGGACTCCTGAGAAATTATTCCGAATTTAGGGGGGTACATTGAGCATTTTTCCTGATTTAGGGGGGTCTCCAAGGCAGGAAAAGCCCGCGAAAAGCCCGCGAAAGGGGGGTTCGGAAATGTTGGCAGTCCTCAGATAGGGGGTGATTTCAAAAAGAGGGAACGAGCATATGCGTACCCTAAATAACACTGAGTGGGGGGGCCGGGATGTGTATAGACATTTTTATTTTTTCAATGAGGCCCATTCGGTTTTATTGATGTTTTTAAAGGTTTTATTCGGCGGGAGATTCCAACGTTGTGTCAACAACAGATCAACATGTGAATGAATGATGACAGAAGGAAAGGGAACTAACTATCCGCTTTGGAACACAATGGATCAATTCAACCCAACTCAAAGCGAAGGTTGAGTACTGGTAAAAAAAAAGAAAATTATTTCTCACAGAATCAAACGAAACTTACACTGAATGTTCAAGATTACAAATAAATGACATGTGCCAAACAATTTTGGAAGAAAATGTATACTGGCTGAGTAATGAGCATAGAAAGACAAGGAATCAAGGTAGTACCAACCCCGACACCATGCGTGTTGTCCCATACATAGCTTTCTGTGTATGTGCTTGTTACTTTACCAAGACTCGGTCAAATTTATTATGATTTTGATGACTCCAGAACCTTGCAGTGCACACCAATACTTACATGCTACATGATCAACTGTTTCTGATCCTTTCCACACCTTTTCTTTCACAATGCAGTCGCATTACCAGTACTAAAGTTTATCTTCAACTAGAACTGATTCCTATTATAATAGGGCGTGGCCTTCGGTTAAGGAGAGAATCCTTTTTTAGAGCAGAATTTCTTCTGGCATAAATAGTTTCGATGTATTTTTTTTCTAGACCCCTTGTAGTGTTGTACTTTTTAATGTTACAAACTCCTCTCCTCTAATAACGCTGTTTCAGTACCAGCTCGGCCAACTAATTAATTAGTTATTAAGTTGCATGATATCTTTATCGTGTGTTTAATAGACTGAGCCTCTTAATAATTATTATTATAGGCATTTCTATAGCGCCCTCTATCTAGAAATTCTATTCCGAGGTGCATTAATTATTACTATTTAGCGATAGGTCGAATAAACATTCCGTAAACCTCAACCTAAAGGGCTTTTTTTCCTTGAAAATATGCTCCAATTTTTGTATACATAACATCAGCGCCGAGTCCCGCTTACTTGCGATGATTCGCCAAGATGCAAAATATGGGCCCTGCTTTATGAAGTTTGGCATCGGTAAGAAAGTAACAAGATTTGATGAAAAGTAATGAAAACAACAAGAATAGTTAACAATATGAACATGTATATAGCGCTTAACATGATTATCATTTCTAAGCGCTTTACATGAAATAAAAAACCTTTAAAAACAAACTTAAACAATAAACATAGTAAATAGACATTGAAAAGAATCTAACGGCTGTTCTGGATTGAAAACATTTGAAAGAAAGTAATAGAAATCAAAGCGACTGAAATCTTCGGTAGGCCGATTGTTCACATTGAAGTCTAAATCAGTGGCAGTTGCTATTTAGCTTTACGGACAAGGAGGCTCCTGAGGATTGATTTTATTGCAAACTTTTAGAAAAATCATTGGTTACTTTTTTGTGGAAAAAATTGAAGCAATTTGATTATTTCATTTACCATTCTACTCTTTAATCAAATGTAATTATTTCATTTTGTCCCAGAAAGAAGATCGCAAAACATGAAATTGTGTTAATAATTATAAACAATGTGGGTAAATACATGCTTTAATTAGATACATTTTTGCCACTAAATGGATTTTTGCGGGTCGATCTTCTCTTTCATCCACATCATCTTTTCACAAGTTTATGTCAATGGAGCCGGGTTAAAAGCAAACGAACACAACATGGAACAATAACTGATGTACATTCAGCTTTCCAAAATGTGTTTATTTCATGAATCGTGCTGCTAAGATGCCTAACATCATTTTTGTTAATGCTAATACAATACACTCATTTATTGCACCCATCCGCCGCTAGATATATTTCCTAATGATCTTTTTTGTCTGCATATTGTTGACTAAGTTGGAAACTAAACATTTTACGAGCGGAAACTGACGCAAATTCGTCATCCAAACCAAGAAAACAGTCTATCCCTGTTTCCCACTCCTCCTCCTCTCTATCTCTTTATCTCTTTCTCTATCTATCTCCTTTTTTTAAAACACACATACACATGCACAATGCAAAAACACACACACCCTCTTTCTCCTACAAAGGACAAGTTCACAAAACAAAGGGTTGTTTTGGGAAACACTTCTATCATTCCGGATGGGGTCAAGGGGCTCGCAGGGTTCCAGGGGCGGAGCATCCGCGTGCTCTCGAGTTGTTAACAATTTAGAAACTCCAAGATGGCCGTAACAAGAGATAGAAATAGTAGTTTTCTCCTTGAAATTCATACAGTCCTAATTATTTCATTATAAATCATCTCTTTCACTCTTATAAAAACAATGTCGTATAACTGTTTTTTCCCGTTAGGTTATACTTTTCCGAAGTTTTCGTAGCTAGGCACATGTCGAGCCAGCTCATCGACAATGTAATCTGTACACGTAAATTTAAGTTCAATGTTTCTCTCTCTTTCTCTCTCCCTCTTTCCCTCCCTTTCCCTTTGCATTCTTCTTCTCTTTAACATTTTTTTCTCTTTTTCCCCCATTTTTATTCTGTCATCTTTTATCCCCCCCCCCCTTTATAAATAGTGGTAGCTAAACATAACAAAAACTAGAAATCGAAGGAAAAAAAATAGTTGACTGCCATTTTCCTGTAATTAAAGGAAAGGGCCGTGTAGGCTCATAATTCAAATGCCAACATCTCCTAGCCAGAAAATACCTACACTAAATATATCTTAGCCTAGCAGAAATAACCAGTTAAACACATTGAACAAAGTTCTTACAACTGCTAATAAATAAAACGAAACAAGAACAAAAACTAAAACTGGAAATTGTTGACTGGGCGTGCCGTTCACCTACAATTTAAGGGGCAGGGCCCAGTAGGTTCATCATTCACAGCTCACCATCTCCTAACCAGAAATTAACTACACTAAGCCATAACCTACATACATACAATAAAAAAGAGCATCTCATTGGGCGGTAGGGTCATCATTTACAGGTCACCATCTCCCAACCAGAAATTAACTACACTTAGCCCTAACCTACATACATATAAAAAAGAGCATCTGACTGGGCGTGCCGTTCACCTACAATTTAAGGGGCGGGGCCCGGTAGGTTCATCATTCACAGGTCACCATCTCCCAACCAGAAATTAACTACACTTAGCCCTAACCTACATACATATAAAAAAGAGCATCTGACTGGGCGTGCCGTTCACCTACAATTTAAGGGGCGGGGCCCGGTAGGTTCATCATTCACAGGTCACCATCTCCTAACCAGAAATTAACTGCACTTAACCCTAACCTGCATACATACAATAAAAAAAGAGCATCTGACTGGGCGTGCCGTTCACCTACAATTTAAGAGGCGGGGCCCGGTAGGTTCATCATTCACAGCTCACCATCTCCCAACCAGAAATTAACTACACTTAACCCTAACCTACATACATACATACAATAAAAAAGAGCATCTGACTGGGCGTGCCGTTCACCTATAATCTAAGGGGCGGGGCCCGGTAGGTTCATCATTTACAGGTCACCATCTCCTAACCAGAAATTAACTACACTTAGCCCGAACCTACATACATACAATAAAAAAGAGCATCTGACTGGGCGTGCCGTTCACCTATAATCTAAGGGGCGGGGCCCGGTAGGTTCATCATTTACAGGTCACCATCTCCTAACCAGAAATTAACTACACCTAGCCCTTACCTACATACATACATACAATAAAAAAAGAGCATCTGACTGGGCGTGCCGTTCACCTACAATTTAAGGGGCGGGGCCCGGTAGGGTCATCATTCACAGGTCACCATCTCCCAACCAGAAATTAACTACACTTAGCCATAACCTACATACATACAAACAAAAAAGAGCATCTGACTAAGCGTGCCGTTCCCGGTAGGTTTATCATTCACAGGTCACCATCTCCCAACCAGAAATTAACTACACTTAGCCATAACCTACATACATACGAACAAAAAAGAGCATCTGACTGAGCGTGCCGTTCCCGGTAGGTTCATCATTTACAGGTCACCATCTCCCAACCAGAAATTAACTACACCTAGCCCTAACCTACATACATATAAAAAAAAAAGAGCATCTGACTGGGCGGTAGGGTCATCATTCACAGGTCACCATCTTTCAACCAGAAATTAACTACACCTAGCCCTAACCTACATACATATAAAAAAGAGCATCTGACTGGGCGAGCCGTTCTCCTACAATTTAAGAGGCGGGGCCCGGTAGATTCATCTTTTACAGGTCACCATCTCCCAACCAGAAATTAACTACACTTAGCCCTAACCTACATACATATAAAAAAGAGCATCTGACTGGGCGTGCCGTTCACCTACAATTTAAGAGGCGGGGCCCGGTAGGTTCATCATTCACAGGTCACCATCTCCCAACCAGAAATTAACTGCTCTCAACCCTAACCTGCATACATACAATAAAAAAGAGCATCTGACTGGGCGTGCCGTTCACCTACAATTTAAGGGGCTGGGCCCGGTAGGTTCATCATTCACAGGTCACCATCTCCCAACTAGAAATTAACTTCAATTAGCCCTAGACTACATAGATACATACATACAATAAAAAAGAACATCTTACTGCGGGGGGGGGGGGGGGG